TAGTATATAAATAAATCAATTATTGCTAATTGAATTAGAATGCGAATTTTTAAATTTTTAAAGGATTTTTCATTTTATTGGGAAAAAGGCTACAGTGTACATAAATACCATTATTTTTTCAGCACAGGTGCCATTGCGTAACAGGGCGGAGCTTGTAATCTCAGGTTATCTTCGTTGATGTTAGCTTTCTAGTGTTATTTACGGTGGCAGATTTAGAGGGGCGTAATGGGCGTACGCCGGTCCCTTTCTTTTTCTTTATTTTTTTGTAAACATCTTTTTTGTAAAACTTATCATAATTACCATGCTAAATAGTAAAATCAATCAAAATAAAAACTCAAATCAATGAAGGTGCTAAGGTAAAATCACCACCTTGCACCCCTACCAGTGGCTCTTCCCTGGTATCATCTGTTCACACATTCACGCCCTCTATTTCTTACCGGGCTGGATTCGCCCTTGATCTAGTTATTAGTGTGTATACATAGGCCAGAAGTTTGCAAAAAACTTACAAAAACAGATTTTGATTTTGTGGCTATTGTGTGCATACCAACCATTTGTTGTTACAGACAGTAAACTGCATATTAACTAGCTATACCATTCCAATCATTCTAATAATATTACATTTTTTTTAAATACTGGAATATTGTTTACATTTGTTTTCATTGTTTGTTGATGATATTCATGCATTTATTAGTTATTTGATATTTGCAAGTGTATAAGTCGTTATTTAATGCTCTAAACATCTGTTGCTACAAACAATGAACTGTCATATTAACTAGCTATAGTATTAACATTACAATTATCATTTTGCGTTCCAATAATTTTAAACTTTGTTTTAATACTGGAATATTATTAACGTATTATGTTTTTCATTGTTTGTTGAAGAAATTCATGAATAATATATCAAAAGTCATTTGATATTTGCATTCTAGTGTAGAAGTGGTTATTGTATGAATACCAACCATTTGTTGTTACAAAGAGTGAACTGTATATTAAATAACTATATTATTACAATTACAATAGCATTCTAATAACCTTAAAATGTGTTTAATATTGGAATATTATTAAAATATCTTTTTCATTGTTTGTTGATGATATTCATGAATTTATTAAATACTTAATTGATATTTGCATTCTAGTGCAGAAATGATTAATGAATGAATTCAACCGTCTGTTGTTAGAGACAGCGACCTCTATATTATATTATTTCCATTACAATAATTTTTAACTTTGTTTTAATATTGGAATACTATTAAATTTGTTTTTCTTTGTTGATTATATCATGCATTTATTAAATAGTTATTTTACATTTTCATTCTATATGAATTCGTGGTGCCACAGTTTCTGTATAACAGTCAGCTACCTTCAGCTGATAAGCGATTTACACTGTAATTCGCTCCGAGTTCAGCTCTGAAACCTGTCGTCTATTTTTTGAACAGTCATATCTCAGCCAATTCTTGATGGATTTCTTTGTTCCCTTCGGAATTTGAAAAGAAAATTCTTTCTGATTGGTAATATGTGTATTTCATTCTCTAAAAACCTCTCTGTCACTTTCCAATTTTCGAAATGCGCTATGCCTCCCGCTACCAGCGTAAAGAAATAGTTTTGTGGCATTTTTACAGCTTTGATGGGATTCAAAATACCATTATCATTTTACTATTATTATCATTAAAAATGTTTGTCATTTTTTTTAATGTGTTGTTAAATGTCTTGGACACATCAATCACAAGCTATGCTTTTAGGAATTGGGCCCCCTACAATACTTATGTTATTTATTTGTTACATTTCAAAGAAGATTGTAATTTATTTTATTTTATTTTATTTATTTATTTTATTTCAATCGTCCAACAGGAACTCTT